TGGCTTTGTTGTTCCTTCGAAGGTCACGCTTCTTCAACAACTGCAAGATCCGAACAATAGGACCTGCAAGATCAACTTGTGAGAAAGTTGATCTACCCCCTTTTAATCAAGAAGTTTGATCAAAAGTTATATCCTTCAACGTGGTGTGGTACTTGAGGCAAGGAAACCTTCAAGTGTTTACACTATAGCTCTTTGGAAGGAGGAGAAGTTTGCTTCTGGATAAGGAGTTTTAGAAATCTCTCTTTATCAAGCTTTTTGGGCTAACTGTGACTGAGATAGCTTTGTTATTAGAGATTTCTTCGTTGTGTTCGTCTATCTCGTTGTTATTTTTTCTCCAGTCTTCCAAGGTTGCTATTTATAGCTGGATTGGATAATCTATCCGTTGAATCAAAATAGACTATCCGTTGCATTTGCTGGCTTCAATTTTGAATGAAGATTGTGATTGAGGATTCCTCATTGGAGTGGGTGTTTGGACATACCCAATTGTTTGAGGAGGGATTCCTTTTTCCTTAGAATCCGTCTTCTAGCTGTTGTTCAAGAATTCTGGACTGTAGAACTTTACTCAGTTTATCTTCTAGTGCTTGTTTAGGAATTCTGGACGAGCTCTTTAATTTGAGGGGTCCAGACTTTGTTTTCAAGTCATTTGCTCTTGAATCAGCTTAATTATCTTCAATCTAGCCGTTAAAAATCAAGAGATTGATTTTTCCTTACCAACGGGTAGAATTTCTTCATTCAAGACTTAGTGTCCGTTTGGTATACGGAATTGATGGAATTGGAATTGAATTGGAATTGAAATTCCATGGGATTCAATTCCATAGAATTGAATTCTGTCAATTCCAATTCATTTTTTGCACTATCAATTCCAAATCCAAATAATTTTTGTGCTACCAAACACCAGAATTGGAATTGAAGTCCTCAATTCCAATTCCATATTCTGAATTCCGTGTACCAAACGGGGTCTTAGAATTTTTCTAAGTCTTTTCTCACTTGTCCGCTTCCGAGAGTTCCGATTTTTTCTTGAGGCATCCGGTTCTTTTGCTGACAAATCCGGAAGAGTCATTCACAGACTTCCGGGTGAGAAAGAGATCCGCTCTAGTCTTCCGATTTGAATGACTTAGCCTTCAGCGGGTTGTAGCGAGACATCTGGTTATCATGTAGTGTTCCGGATTAGAGGATCTTCATGTGCTTTGAGAAATCCTTACTTGTCTCTGACATTTCCGATCAAGATATCCAATTTCCATATCACAGAGTTTGATTAAGTCTTCAAGCATCAAACCACTTAAAGAAATATCACAACTTTATTGGAAATCTCAAGAACTCGGTTTTAACAATATTTCTAAAAAGAAAAATTACATTGAATATTGGGGGAGGCCTAAAGTCTTTATTACATTCTAAATACATCATCATCAAAATCTATAATATTTTTCCCAACAATTTCCCCCTTTTTGATGATGACAAACAAGTGTTTAAGAGTTCCGGTCGCTGTACTGAGAACTAATTTTATAACTTTCTTTTAGTTTCTCATAATATACAACTTGTTAACAAAAACTCTTAAACAAATACAATTCAAATTACAATAATTCCTAAACCAAGTCTTGTCTTGAGATTTTGTGATATTTTCCGCCATTGACCGTTTTCAGCTTCAGCAGATCTTGCTTATCAGTGCGGATGGCGTTGCGTTTGATAGATCTTTAATATCCAAAGTGGATATTTGAGATCTTGGAACCAACATCTCTCCAAAAAGCAAAAACAAGAACAAAAAGAAAGTGGAGGGAAAAGAGGCGGCGGTGGAAGAAAGGAAAAAAGACAGAATGACAAGAGTGGCCCAAAAAATCAGTTTCGTTTGGTTTTAAAAAAAATGTAACTGTTTTGGTTTGGCTAAGCCCGAAAGAGTGGCCCAAAAAAAATCTATGTACTAAAGGGAAATTATTCCTATCATTTTTCATTCCCTATAGTTCTAATTTCTAAATAGGACGAGGTAGTACCCAAAAAAATTTGTAACTTATCTTAAAAGAAAAAGTGGTACTATTTTTCCAAAGTCCTGTACATTATGAAAATCCTAAGGACCAGTACTTAAGAGCAAAGTTGGAAATGAACTAAGGATTAAATCTCAGTTTTAAGAAGGCAGATTTTGTAAAGTACCCGAATCGAAGATCTCCAACTTTAGTACTTAAACTAAGGTATCCGGCTTCCGTTGCTTAGTGTTTATCAATAGTTCATTGCCAAAAACAACTGAAGCAATTATTAGCCAAAAATAGTTAAGTTCCCCCTGAATTATATTCCCCCTGAATGTATGCGCTTAAGGATAAATCTCAAGAATCACACTTAAAGTGAAGCATAGTAAGCATATTAAGAGAAACATTGAAGCAATGTTTAATCCAAACAAGCAATGTTTAAATAAGAAGGTGTTTTCATCAAAGCAAAATAGTGTTTTCACATACTTCCCCCTGGTTTGATGAAAAAAAGCCTTCACTGCTTCCTGCGCTTTGATGATCCGGCAATCTCACTAATGCCTTGCATGTTTCCACACAGTTCTTCGATGCGCCTTATGTTGTTGCGTCTCTCCTCTGTTTGGGCATCATTTGAGAAATGGGAGACAATGGTTCCAACAGCCTCTGTTCCATCCAGTCCAGAGCTAGATAGATGCTGTGCTGAGTTCTCCGGATTAGTTCTCTGAGCTTCGAGTGTTGGAACATGGGTTTACGCCTACGTCGTACTAAACTGTGCTCATTTTTATGACAGGTTTTGATAATGCCAAACCGCCGTGACACAACAAGGCTAAAGTGAGCAAAACCAAGGCGAAGAAACACGGCATGATGACATGTGAACCAAGAACCAAGAATCAAGAAAAAAGAATTAGGATTGCATCGAGTCGGTCTTAATGTGATCAAGACCGGCACAAACTTCCAAATCTTGGCTCTCTAGGCTCAATTCATCAAAACCCTTTTTGCAAATTCAAAAATGTTTTTCATAAGTTTTTAAACCTGGCTAAAAACACTTGGAGTTCGCCCAAACCAAAAACCAAGTCATCCGGCGTTCGGCTTTCAGAAACCGGCGTTCGGCTTTCGGTTTTTCGGCATTGATTTTTGGGCATCCAAACCAACCAAGTGGTTTTTAACTTTTTATGATTGGTTTTTTCTTCTGGGCATATTTAAACAGTTCTCCAACAAAAACGCTTCAAAAACCACCTTCCGTTTATGGTCGTTTAGTCAAAATCATGCAAAACGACACAAACTTGGTTAGCCGTGGTTTTCAACTAAATGACGTGGATTTTGAGTTGTTTTACTTGATTTCTTTGCAAAATGCAATAAACAAATGTTTGCAACACTTAGTTTTTATTTTGGAGAACTTACGTTTTTGACATCGGCTAACGGCATGACTAAACCAACCATGGGTCTGGCTAAACCAGCCCAACAGCGATGTTGGTGCACCCAACAGCGCTGTCTGGCTTGAGTAGCTGAAAACCATAGTTTGGCGTTAAGTCTTCCAACAGCGATGTTGCACACAAGACATCGCTGTTGAGCCAAGGTTGGATTTCTTGAAACTTCGGGAACAACGATGTACGCTTCCCTACAGCGCTGTCCAACCTAAGCCAAAAATATAGTGCATTGGCAGAAAGTTTCAGGACAGCGATGTTGACCCATCAACAGCGTTGTCAGGCCAAACTTCCATCTTCAAAGTCAGACCTAAACAACGATGTTCTGGTATTGAACATTGATGTAGGGACCTGACCATTGGAAGGAATTTAAGGCCAAAACTTTCCTTGTTTGGAAGTCAACAGCCAAAACAGCGATGTAGGGGTATTGGACATCGCTGTTGGCATGACCGTTGCTTCCCAATTTTCAAAATCCAAGCCTAGAACAGCGATGTCCAAGCCTAGGACAGCGCTGTCTGGGTGAATTTCAGCAGATCCAAATTTAATCAAATCCCACAAATTGTGCAAATCACCCATTAAATGTTTTGGTCCGTTGGAGCCTATTTTTCCACTATAAAATGGGGCGTTTGGGTCTGTTTTAAATAACACATTAACTTCACAACTCCTACTCTTTCATTGCAAATCACTCATTCTTTATTCATAGCTTTTTGAGAGCCATTTTTGTGAAGCTTGTGTTGTGTTCTTTAGCCTACTGAGTTTACTCATAATCTACTCTATAAGAGAGCCTCGTTCTTGAGTGTATTCGTGTTCTTATACACTTTGAGAGAAAGTATTTCTCTCAGTAGATTCAAAGGAAGGGCTGTTTCCTTTGAAGGACTCGTTGAGGTTCGTGTAACTCGAACTCTCAAGTTGTAACGGTTTGTTAAGCACCCGCAAGCTTAACGAGATAGTAGTGTAGCTCGACAGAGTATCTCGGGAGGCTGGATTAGCCACAAGTTGTGGTGAACCAGGGTAAAATTCGGTGTGCCTCTTACTCTTCTCTTTACTTCTCTTTTAATTTTTTAATTCCTGCGATTTCTACGATCAAACGCTATTCACCCCCCCTCTAGCGTTGGTCTATTATTCTAACATCGAGGATCAGGTCAGTCATGTTCAGATGCGAAGGAACATAAGACATTTCTCCTTCCTTGACTGTAATAGGGAGCTCTAGAATCAAGGATGGACTGTGTTGTTGAAGAATCACTTCCATCTTGCGGTTGCCAGAGCTTGTGCTTAAGTGTCTGAACAGTCTGTGTGCTTCCTTCTGATTGTCAATAATAACCTTCAAGTAGTCTTTGGTTACTACCTGATTTGCTGGAGACACTGCTAGGGCTGATCTGATGTCCATTTGGAGAAGGGACATCTGCTTCTGTAAACTAACTGTGACATTTGCTATTTGCTCTCTGATTTTATTGACTTCTTTGAGTTGAAGATAACTGTCAGATGCATATGTCTCCATTGTGTCGCTCACAGAGTTACTCAATAGAGAGATGATCTCTAGAGTCTTGTGTACTGACTTGCTTATCTCCTTGAGATCTGAGCTGTGTTTCTCTTCAGATTTCTCAATCATCATGTTGTGCCTGGCTTCCATCTGCTCTATCTCTTGCCTAAAGGAGGCATGCTGAGATGCTAGGGCTGATTCAATCAACCCTTGGACCTTCTTTGTCCAGGTTTCCGGTACTTCATCCGGAAGTGTAGAAATGGAAGAGCTATGGAAATGAAAGTTGGTTACCTGATGAGAAGAGGATGTTCTTTGGAAGAGTTGCATAGGAAGAGATTCAGCATCTTCTTGCACATCTTCTTCATCATCAATCTTCAGCGTCCTTTCAGATTCTTCTTCTGCTTCATCAAGTATAAAATTTGATATATTCCTAGAGAGGGAGTCTCTTTCTTCACCTTCATTCTGCTCTTCAAAAACAGCTACTGGAGTTTCAGGGGCCTCCAGTGTTGCCATTTGAACTTCCTTTTCAGCTTCTGTAGAAGTCCTTTGGATTTCTACAGCTTGCTCTTCTTGGACTTCATTCGTTTCTGGAGGAGTGGACTGCTCCAGATTTTCTCCTGACTTCTCCGGGATCTCAAGTTCAGGCTGGTTGGAGATCTCACAAGGAGTTGTGAGAATCTCAAGGACTTGAGATTTGAGAGGTTGCTGAATTTCTTCTTCTGATGCTTCTTGGTTCTGTTCTAGTGGAGTAGAGGCTGCATTCTCTTGGTCAGCTTCAGGCAGAACCGTTACAAAGGCACGTGAGGTTTCCGGAAAGACTGGGAAATCCTCAGCTGTTGTTTCCAAATCAGCTTGTGCTTTAGAAGTGAGAATCATCTGATCTTCTGAGGCTTTTGAGAAGATCGGCTTGTAGACTGAAGGATCTTCATCATCCGCTTCAAATTCTGAAGCTGGTGTGGTGGCCAAGTATTCCAGACGCAAGTCTTCATAGTTCCTTTGCCATACCCAGTCATTATCCAAGATTTGTTCACAGCTGTGGTTGACTGGCAGTCCCAAGCACTTCTTGATGATCTTTTCATTCTTCAATTGTTGATCCCATCCCAACAACTGCTCTGCTGAATTTCCAACCTTCCAAGCTCTCCAGTCATAGTAGAGCTGCCAGAATTGGTTATCAACATCATCTGTTTGAGGTTGAGGTGAGGAGGTTGGAAGACTATGGACTTGATGAACTTCTTCTTCAAGTTGTTGAGGACCCTGGTTGTGGGCAGAGTTTTCCTCAACTGGTTCCTTCTCCTTCAACTTATCCGGGTTGACATTTCCAGAAGTTGAGGGATTGGTGATTTTTCTCTTCTTCTTCCGTTGAAGCTCTTCTTGGGCAGTGACTTCTTCTTCTTCCATATTAACCAGAGCAAGATTCTGTGGTGCTTCAACACTAGAAGAGGGAGACACCACATGTTTCCTCTTGGCTATTTTCTTCAGATTTATGATGGGAAATGTAACGCCCCAAAACATACCCTAAACTTTATTGAATTAAATATTCAATTAAACAAATTTGTTTTGATTAAAATAAATAGTTATTGGGCTTTGGGCCGAAAAGAAATGTGTTTTGACATCCAATATCACAAATCAGGATAAGTCTCATAAAGATAAATCCAATATGTTGACTAATTGGGTAATCTTGGTTGGGAATCTGAGTACAGATCCAAATTAAGAATAAATGAAGAAATTGTTTACTTTGAAATGGTTTATTGAAATAAATCATGAGAGTAAATAATATGAATTGAATATGACACCTTTTATAGTAAAGGTCAAACAAATCAATTTTGACTCTGTCAAAGTCAACCACCCAAAAATATGATGTCGGAAAAAGTATTACAAATAATTATGAAAAGTATATCGTTGGATAGAGCTCGACTGTCTGATCGCAACGGTGCAAACAGATTTCAATTTGGAGAAAGTTGGACCAAAAAGTGTACTTCGACTGGAACCAAAATAGGTCCCAATCAGGGAACTGTTTAGACGGCGCCTCCTTCCCCACTACGCCGATCACAGAATTGTGGAGTCACCATAGTTGTTTTCTTCTTCTCTCCTTTTCATTATATAAGAGAACCCAACCTTCTCATTTCTTCACCATTCTTCTTCATTCTTCTTCCTAAGTGTTCATGAAAGTGTGAGGAGTGTTGTGGTGCTGTCAATTTGGTGTGAAGTCGCCGGAGTTGGGAGAAATACTCGCCGGAAGTTTTGCCGGAAAATTTCCAAAACCTCCATTAAGCTTCGAGGTAAGCCCGTAGATATATCTAATGACTAGAATGTTCATATAGGTCGTTTCTACGTT